GACCGGCATGCGGCCCCCGGCGCCGCCACGGAGCCGCCCGTCGAGGTGAGCGGCGGGGCCGGGGCTGGGGCCGGGCCGGGCCGCAGGGACCCGCCGTGTCCGGCCGTGCCAGGGCTCGGAGGAGAGTCCGGAGCCTGCAAAGGACGAGGAGGAGGGTCCGGAGCCCGTGAAGGACGAGGAGGAGGAGGAGGAGGAGGAGGTGGAGGAAGGCCCGCAGCCCGTAGGGGACGGGGAGGCAGCGGCGCCCGCCCCCGACGGCGCCTCCCCGGCCGCCTGCGCCGCTGCGGGGCCGGGCCCCGACGTCCCCAAAGCAGGTCGGTCCCCAAAGCAGGTCGGGGGCCGCAGGGGGGGCGGGTGGCACGAGGGGGGTCCCTGCAGCTGCCTCTGCCCCCGCAGCGCCCGCGGCTGAGGAAGGAAGCGGCACCAGCAGCGACGAGGAGCGCGAGGGGCCCCGGCGGCGGCGGCAGGGCCGGGAGCCGCCCCCGACGGCCGCCCCCGCGGCCGCCCCGCGCTGGGGGGCACCCCAAGCCGCGGGGGACGACGAGGGGCCCGGCGGCAGCAAGTACCTGCTGGGCGCCCTGGCCCTGCTGGCCCTGGGGCTGCTGCTCGTGCCCGGTGAGTGACGGGCTCTGCGGTGAGACCGGGGGGGTCCCGACASCCCCCTCATCGCCTCCTCCTGCCCCTCCTAGGGGGCATCTATGACCCAGCGGAGGGTGAGTCGGGGGGGCCTGGGGTCGCCCCGCCCGGCACAGCCGGTGACACRGAGGTGGCCGCACGGTCCTCGCCAGGCCCCGCGGAGAGCGACGTGCCCCGGGACGTGGCGGGAGGGCAGCAGGAGCCGCCGGTGCCCGCGGGCGTCACYGTAAGCAGGGGCTCAACGGTGCAAAGCAGGCGGGGGCGGGAAGCACCCTCACCGTTCCCCCCCCAGCAGGAGCCGCCACCTCCGGAGGCCGGGTCCCCCCCCAGCCTGCAGTCCATGAGCCTCCTCCTGGACCGGCTGGCCAAGGAGAACCAGGACATCCGGCTCATGCAGGCGGAGCTGCAGGTGGGTGCCCCCCCGGGCACCGTGCACCCCGGCCTGCCCCCCGCGGCGCCCCGGTGCTCCCGGGCCCCCCGCCGTCCCCGCAGGCGCACAAGGAGGAGCTGCAGGCGCTGCTGCGGCGCAGCGAGGACGAGGCGGCGGCCGCGGGCGCCCAGCGCCGNGGGAGCCCTCGAGCGAGCCCGGGCCTCCGGGGACCTCGAGCGGCTGCTGGAGGAGCTGGGCGGGCTGGAGCGGCGGCTGGAGCAGGCGGAGGCCGCCGAGCCCTGGAAGAAGCCGTTCAAAGCGGACAACAAGGAGGGCAAGCGGCACAAGCGGCACGAGGGCGCGGAGAAGCGGGAGCAGGGCCTGGCCCACGGGCCCGGCAAGGAGCCCCGGCCACCGCGGGAGCACAAAGCCGGGCCCGAGGCGCCTGCCCAGCCCGGCCCGGCGGAGCCGCCGCTGCTGAGCCGCTACCGGGCCCCGCGGGGCTGCTCGGGGGTGGCCAAGTGTGCCCGCAAGGAGGGCATGGAGCCTGTGCAGCGGGCGCAGTTCCTGCAGCTGCTGCAGGGCTTCCTGGAGCGCCAGGGCTGGGGGAGGCACCTGGCAGGGGTGACCGCCCGCCTGGACGGCGCCTTCGGGCCTGATGGCACCTTCGCCCACGACCGCCTGCGCTTTGTGGACTTCGTGGACGACGCCGAGGAGCTGCTGGAGGAGCTGGCGCGGCGCGAGGGCGGCGACGAGGAGGCGGCCGACGGCTTTGAGGAGTTCGTGCTGCAGCGCGTGGCCCGCGGGTGAGGCGGCGGGGCCGGGGTGCGCGGCGGCGGGGCCGGGGCGTGCAGCCCCCGTCACTGCCCCTCTCCTCTGCCAGGTTTGCCAAGAAGGAGCGGCCCAGGAAGGGTCCSCAGCAGCACCGAGGGGGCGGCCCCGCGTGGAGCCACGAGAGCCGCTCGCGGGGGTAGAGGCGCGAAGGCCGCACGGGGCCCCCCTGCACCCATCTGTCTGATGCACTGTGTCCTGCCCGGGGCGGGCACACCTGGGGTACCCGAAGCCATGGGGGCTCCGGGTGTCACTGCCCGGCCCCGGGCCTCCCCGCACCCTGTGTGATGCTGCACTGCCGTAGATGCAATAAAGTCACTGCTGGCCGAGA